TTTTGTTGTTAAAATAGTTCGCTTAGTGTTTGGGCTAAGTTACTCACTAGGTTGATAAGAGTTTGTGGATGGATATTATCTATCCCTGGAAATGAATTTTTTTAACACTGCAATTTCAATGCTATGATTTCTGGGGAAAAATCAATTGTGATTATGCGTTGGATATGATATATCCACATGTAAAAGAGGCAGTCATAGTTCTGTGTTCTCAGGTGCGGTGAACACTTGAGCGGACTGACGTTTTAGCAGTTCAGCTGCCTCCTTTGTTGTGACTGAAACACGTTCTGCCGCTCTTAGCGCGGGAACGATAGAATTAGCTTTTCTGGTAGCATTTATGTGTTTGCACAACAGCTTGGAATTTGATATGAACTTACGCATCAGCATTTCTTGATGCATTAACTTGTCTCCTCGCGCCAGCTTGGTGCAGTGGTTTCGCAGTTGACAATAGGTATACCATTTGCTGTTGCGCGGAGATATTCCTCTGTGAAATCCAGTTTTTTGTCCGGCTTCAAATCGCAGATCTCTGACCAGTTAAGTAGGTGGTGCGTTTGGTCTTCGTTGCGCCCTTCACCATTTCCGTCAGGTGATTTTTAAATTATTCAAAACATTATTCCAATGTATTTTGTATTTTGTTGCTAGATGAATAAGACTACGCAAGACAGGCGGCGGGATACGTAAACAGTTGTGCGAACACGTGAAATTTTGTATTTAAACCGTGTTGTTAAAGTGGGTAGAAATTTGCCCAATGTGGAATTGTGTGCTCTGTACAACAGAACGTTGCAGGAGAAACGGTTGCAAGGATTGAAATGTTTTGTCACGATAAACACACCTCCAGGTAGTCCCGTAATGAAATAGCTATTAGAGATCGTTTCTTAATCACTGTCTGTGCACTAGAACCTACATTAGGCTGATAAAATCAAATCAATCTCTCATTTGCACATATTTGCTGCAATTCTATGATTATTTAATCCTCCGGAATACTCTAAATCTCTTGTTTGTTTCCATAAGAAGGCTTTTCACGGTTCGTTCAAACCAACTGAAAACCCTGGTTATGGTATTGAAAACCGGTCCTAAAGGTAGAAGCCATTGGATAACTTTCCCAGCCGCCATTATTGCTTCACCCACAGGTCAGTGAACTGGTGAATTGCAGAAAAGAATTACTTCTTCATTATCCGGTTGTTAACTTGCTACGTTTAAAGAACATTACCTAAGAAATCTGTAAAATGCACATCACTATTCATCTCAGTACGGAGGTAAACGTTTCATTTTATCGGACCTTTGAAAACATTTTCAGATATGTGAACCAACATTTTTGAATGATAAAGTGAAATGTTTTGGTAGAACTTGAAAATTTCCCTCCAGGATCCATCTTATTCCATTGAGCAACTGCAAATTGACTCATACTATGCTGCAGAGAAACCGAACTGGATGAAAACCTCAGGTGTGTAGTGACTTTATGCACCAGGGTAGTGTCTGCAAGGTATGATCACCTTCCTATTCCCACCGTTGCTAAATCACGGCCAGTGACCATTGAAAGATTACTAGAGGCTATTAAGCCATGACCAGTGACTAATGAACGACGAAACAACCTGTAGTAGTTCTAAGCCTTCAGCATTAACGAATCAAAATAAATTTCAGTTTTTATAACCATTAACCACACACTTTCGTGCCCCGATTTTGTTTGCTTTCTTTAGATTGCCCATTTCGATAAAAGAGCAGAATGAAGATTGGAATGCTGAAAGCAAATTCAAGCGCAGGATGGAGAATTCATATAGAGTGGTGTTCGGAGTATAATGAGTGGATGCACGACCGCTGCTTTTTGCGACACCCAGCCATATCACTCAGTGTCTCCAACCATTGGTGACCATCATCTCGGGGTCCCCAGCCAGGGAGCCTTACTGGGCCTATTATGGTGATCCAGGCCTACGTGATGACGCCTACCCTGGAGAGGCGCGTTACCGTTTCTGGAAACCTGCGATCAATCAAATTTGAAAGGTGACCTCAATAACGCGCATACTTGTCACTGCTTCTGACTAAATGTCATAGGAAGATCGTGCCAGCCAATCCGAGACAGTGCAGTCTAGAAAGAAGCAGAATTATGCAAACAATACTGTAGTACGATTGGTGAAAGCCTGCATAACCAATGATCTTCTTTTGTGCATATTATTCAATCCCCCTCATTTCTTTCAATAAACGAACTACTAACTACCATTCTTGTGGTTTTTTCCTCGCCTCAGTTACTTGGGACATTGCGTGCTAATGCCATTGCGGCCCAGTGCTTCTGTGATTCAGTCCGTGTTAGCTGGTCCTTGATTCCTGTCTTGTGATTTCTATTGCGTGGTTTGTGTTCCGTGCGTATTACTACATTTACTGCGATCACTACATCTATGTGACCTGGTCTCCTGGTTAGGGTTTTCATACTTCATGCCAGGTCTTCGTTTGATCACCCTTGATCTTTTTTCAACCGCTACCTACCTCAGTAAACATCCTTCGCCGTGGCAACCGATTTGCTGGCATGCGTAACACATGCACCAACTAACGTAATCTATGGAGGTCGATCACTTGCCCCAGTGGACGACCGCGACTGCCTAAAAACTCTACGCCTGACCTCAACATTGCTCTTCCGGCTGCCCAAACAGACTCGTGCAATGCTGCATAGTCAGCGGTGTTCGAGCACCGACAATCTATCTTTATCCTGTTCCCAAGTCTCTTCACCGTAGAGCAGAACTGGCGGAACTGCTGTAGCATATACTCGACCCTTCACAGACAGCCACATGTCTCAAGTTTGCGAATGCCAATCGAGCCTTTTGTAGGCGCACCGAAATTTCATCTGTGATGCGTCCGTCAGGTGATATATAGCTGACCAGATTGCAAAACTTGTCCACTTCCTCTATTACTTCCCCAGTTAAGGTGAGACTGGGTGCTGAAAAAACTCAATCCTGGAGCAACATTTTACACTTTGAAGGTGCGAAACGCATACCGAACATGGTTACGCTAGCACTCAAATTATCCAGAAAAGCTTGCAACTTAGCTGGATCTTCACTTAATAGCACAATGTCGTCTGCATACTCTAGATCAGACAGGCTGCCCCCTGGGAGTAAATCAATACCGCTATCCTCGCAAGAGGATAGGGTTGTTCCGAGAAATAAATCTATCACGAAGTTAAATAGAAACGGAGAGGGATCAACCCTGTCGAACACCACTTTCCATGGTGAACTCGGACTCGGTTTCAGCTATTAGTATAAAGCTAGCGTAAGATTTGAATAAACTTCTCGGGCATGCCGTTTAGAGACAGGCAGTGCCAGAGTTTACAGCGGTTGACTGACTCGGAAGCCGCATTTAGATCGAGGAAAATAGATATTGTGGGTCTACGAAAGGAGTGTCTGTGTTCTGGAATTTGACGAAGATTGAAGACGTGGTCGATACAACCTCGACCAGGTCTGAAACCAGCCTGGTTCTCACGTGTACATCGTTCACATGCGGCAGACAATCGACGGAGTATAACACCAGCGAGAAGTTTAGAGACGATGTTGATTAAACTAATTTCTCTGGGACTTTCACAACAGGATCCGTTACTTTTCTTGCAAACCGCTATGATCACCGATTCACACTATTCCGTTGGATCCTCTTCCTTCTCCTACACTGAGCCCAAGAGTTTTGTTAACTCCAAAACCAAGGCTGAGCCTCCATCCTTAAAAGCCGATGAGGACAGGCCGTCGGGGACGGAAGGCTTATGTCGTTTGAGATAACTTATTTCCCGAGAACCTCTATTTCAGATGGAGGACTGATGCGAAATGACAGTACTTGCTCAAATGAATAGGGTAAAGGGAGGTCTTGTGTCGATGGGGATCAACTGAACAGTGACTTAAAGTGTTTAGCCCAACGTTCAAGACGGCGTTCCTGAATTTGAGTTAGTGTGCCTTCAGACTCCTTATTTGCCTCACTTACGCCTACTTTCTTTGATCTTGTACTCCTAATTAAACGAAAAAGATTGCGACTATTACCGATAACCGCAGCATTCTCCATCTCTCTACACTTCCTTACCAACCACTTCTCGCGGTCATTCCTCAGACTCCTGATGAAAGTATTGCTGTATAAAGAACAGTAATAAGACCAACCCAAAGTGGATGATATTGCAGATTGAAGGTAAGAAAATTTGAAACTTTCGTCGTAATTAGAACCAACTGCGTATATAATTATGAAGTCATATGTATTCACTGAAAGGTTCAAACAAAAGAATGCAGGTTGGGGTATGAAGTGATGCCCTGTTACTTCCCAAAATTTACAGAAGGGGATCAGATTGAGAATGGACGTCTGTCAATAACACATTCTTTGACCCATACAGGAACCGGTATAGATAGTCCAACGGCTCGCAGAGAAGAGAACAACTGGGATCTATTATTGCAGTTAAATGCACTTATGTAATCATGAAAACTCATACAAAATATCTTACCGGAAATATCATTAATCGTAAAAACATAATTGGCGTTCATATGCGGGTAAAATCGGTCTTTCAAATCAATATGTCGCAATCTTTCATCATATATACCCTAATGACGCACAGTTTCGCTACGATAAGCAAGTAAAACAATATTCCACCTAAGACTCATGGCTACTGTTGATTTAGTGGTCGACAGGTTAGACTGAAGAGGTTGTAATGGTAATGGAAGTAGTAGTAGTGAAGTTACGCACAGAACTCCGGACACGAACTACGCAATGGGAATCACGGAACACGAATTAGAAAACCGATGGCACTGGACCGCAAAGGCTCGAACTCGCAATAACCCGCAGGATAGAGACACGAGGAAAAAGGCCACAAGACAGGCGAATCACAAAGTCGTTTATTGAAGGAAATAAAAGTGAATATATATGTACATAAGAAAAGATCATTGGCTACCTTAGTTTCCACCAATCATATTGCATCACATCTTGCGTCATACTGCTCTTCTCTGCATTGTATCTGATTGGCTAGAACGGTGCACCAATGACGTGTATCCGGAGGCTGTGCACGTGCTACTGGCGTCATTGCTCAAGGTCGATTGACTACCAATGTCTGGAAACTGTACCGCGCTGTTCCAGGGCAGGCGTGATCTCGTAGATCCGAATCACCACAGAGGTACAGCGGGACTTGGTGGTCCGTCATAAACGTGAAGCGCAGCCTGAACAGATAAATGTTTTAGCTCCGGACAACACAACAAGCTGCAAATGCTTCCTTCTTTATCTGAAAGTATCCTCATTCAACAAACAGGAGGTGCAGTCTATCGGACACTCATCCTGTTCAAGTGGGGTACCAATGTACGCACCTAACGAGTCTACCACCAAAGTTGGCCTTTGCGACGGGAAAAGTTTAAATCTAGCGAACTTTACACGCTTTTAGATTACCATATCGACACGTTTACCTGCAAAAAACCCTCCAATAATCCGAGGTAATGGCTATTTTGTTTATCTTTGGTTGCTTTAAACACAATGGCATCGTTTCGTTACGGCAACATGCAGTCAATTTCACTGATAATCTCCAAAATGACTACCTGAAATAAGTCTGACGAAACTTAAAGGCCGAGTATTAGCAAGTTCTATTGGTTTAACCCCCCAGATATATGTTCCTTGTGAAACCTTATTTTGCCAAAATGGTAGCTGTACGTTTTCCCAACCGAGTAATCAGCATCAGTAAGTGGTCGCCGGAAATCCGTGGCGTCTTACTATCGCTCTCGTTATTGCCACCACATTGTGTGTCACCCATGAGCTGGCCGTGACTCGAGTGTTGATAACTTTTGGCTTCGCTATCTCGCTTGTTCGCAACATACCTTCATATTGGTCCTCTGGTAACACGCGCTGTTTTATGATAAATGGTTTGTCATCAAATTCCAATCCACAAGGCAAACATTACATGCCTTCGGCATTGTTGGAAAATTTTGCGATCAGTTGCTGTAAGTTTTTTTTGAACAGTCGGCGCACCACGGATATCATGGCATGAATTGACTTATTGCACGCATAGGGGCCAGACCCAGGTTAGATGTTATACTTTCGGCTTCCAGAAACGGAATGGGAATGAAGAAATCTGGAAATGATCTCACCATCAACAATGCTTTGACCGCTTTTGAGAGTCGGGCCCAGTTATACCAAGTTGGATGGGTAGCAGCCCGAAGGTACACGGATAACAGCACTTCTTCTGTGATGATGCCACCACCTGTATCCAAAATGAATTCATTTGAACCGCCGAATTGTAATATCAAATCTGTGTAGGTGGGCTGTTCCTGCTCACTCATGGTTTGCAACTTATACATCTGACTGTTTTCACCTGCAGAGCCGACGTTTGTGCAAGATTATAACGGGATTGGTTACATATCGCTCACGTTCGGTCAGAGTTCGCGAAACCGACTTTTGACCGCGCAGGTAGAATGGTGTAACTGAATCACATGCTGCGATCTGCCTCACCTCACTGTGTTTTTCACTTATCTTGCTTGCTTCTGTGTTAGATCCTTCTTCTTGAGCATTTGTCNGCATTTGTCTGTTCAGCCTCAGGTTTTTAATGTTGATAATCAGACGATCGAACGGTTGATCTTCTAGACAATCCTAACAATTGCACTGTGCTGTCCGCTTATCCAATCAAAAGAAGAATTTGCGACATGATACAGTCTTGGCGCGTATTGAAGAATTGAATTTTTCTTGTTCAGTTTATATCAAACGATTCGGCAACAGGCTTTTCAGAGATTCCTCAATCTCAGACAGAATGTCGTTGAGTTTCAGCTGTTTATTGCTGAGAAGCTTGATGGTGCGACGCAGAATTTTAGTAATAGGAATAACTACGGATCAGAAATTGAAACCAGCTACATGAAGTTCCCGATACAGAGAGAAAGAGAGGAGGCCCCAGAATTAGCGACTAGTTTATTAGAATAAGTCAAATAAATTAACTAATACGTACGAGGAAAGCTGATTGGTGAGAACTAGTCAGTTTTCCTGTTCTTCTTGCCCGAGTGTTTCTGGTCAAACTGCAAGAAATTTGATTGGTCCAAAAGCACTGATTTCTTATTAGTCGTTTTTAAACCCTATTGCCTAGCGTCCTGGCAATGTTTCCTCGTAGCATTGGATCACCATACAACACATTTGATTACATTCCTGCTTGGCCGACGCTTAGAACTCAACTGCATAAATCTAAATATCAATGATGCCGGTAGTCCACCCTCCGAGGTTGCTGCTCAGCTCCCAAATGGTCTGTCACCGTCAGCCAAACTTGGACTAAAGCCTATAATTCCCTCCCCCGAGTTCATATGATTACATTGAGAAGATTGTGGACCAACATTCATCCGACTGGTGCTTATCAAGTTCAGACAGAAGAAGCTTGGCAAAAGTTAATTCACAGATAACTAATTGAACTTTGGGCTAAGATGAATATTACGATTGCTATTGCATGGTTTGCACTGCATATTATTCGAACCTCTTGACTTCTTTGGGGTTCGCAGACGGTCTCTAGGTCATGCCTTCTGTTGCCAATGGTGACTCACCATCTGTTGGTTCCGTGTTTGAACACAGTAATCAACGCATCCAATCAAATATACACACATGTAGCAGTAGAATTGAGTTTCGTTCTTGTCAGAATATATTATAACCATTATATCCGAGTCCAGACTGTATGCCAAACTAATCACGGTAACCTTTTTAACGAAAAAATCCATGACTTTCTACTGGACAGGATAGTGCTATTTTACCCAGGCCAAAGCACGTGAATTTTCTTTGATAATTTACAACCACAGCATTTGGCCAGCCAAAACCTGATCAGCGAAATAGCGGGGGGATCAAATCATACACCCTGTGGACAGGACCAAAGGTCCAGCATGCCTGAACATCAGCTCACATTGAATGGACGCAAGTGTTTGTAATTTTGCGCGCAATTATTCAGGTTATATTCTATTTCGGTTAAATTGCCTAGCAAGTCTCAGGTCACTTGGAGTTAACTGAATGAAACCAATGTTTTGTCCTCATTTATTGATGACCCTGTCCTATGGAATCAATTCAGCAGTCTGACTTGCTTTACAACTGGCAAAGTTTTCTTCTCTGTTCATAAACTTCTAGTCGATATGGCAATCTTGTTTTCAAAGTAAATCTTGAGCATAAAAACAAGTGTACGATTTCTCGATTGGGCCTGGATATGAGCTCCGGAATGACCTTTCTATATTCGTTATTCAAACGAACGCAAATGCATTTGCATCCTCATGAAATCCCGATGGAGGTACTACATTTTTGGCATACCGCACTGCAATCTCTTTTGAAGCAAAAATAGCTTCAAATAGTCGTTTCAGGTCTTAGCACAGTCTAACCTGTCTATGATAGTACGTAACATTCGCTTGTTCACTAAATATCGACAGGTGTATAACACTTCCTTTGCACTGTATTATCTCAGTCTTAACTTCATTAGTTATCTATATATGTGAGCTGGCTACACCGGAGCACCGGATTGGTGAGTTTCTAAGTATTTCTCTCTT